CTCGCCGTTTCTTCCGGGGGTTCCTGCACAGCACAGGGTCTGCCAGGCCAGTTGCCTCCCTTGGAGCCATGCCCCAGCTCCTCCTCAGCTTGGAGGGCGCTGAACTTGTTCGTCAAAGGCAAATCTTGAGGGGGAGCAAGAGCCTTTCTCCTTCTACGAGAGGTCACCAGCTTCCAGCCCTCTTCAACAGCGTTATGATGCCCCTTTACACACGGTACACAGCCCTCCGACAACTCCGCTGCAGTGGGGGGTGGGGACTGCTGGAGCTGCACAGTCTCCGAGAATACCCTGTCAATTTCCTGCTCATCCTCTCGGATGCTATGTAGCCTACTGACTTCCTCCCGTAACTCCTTTATCTGGTGATGCAACTGGTCAACCACAGCACACCTCATGCAGGAGAGCTGACTGTCAGCCCAGGCCTCACGGAGAGGCCCCAGGCACTCCCTGCAGCCTGACACCTGCAGAGCTGCATCGGCTGTCTGAGGGTCTGTCTGGGTTGAAGCCTCAGACACAACTGATGCAGCAACTTGAACTGGGGAACGTGCTCTGCGGCTTGTCATGACCATGCCCCAGGGAAGGACACACCACTATGGAAAATGAAGGTGCCTTCTTTGCCTTCTGGCGCCCTTCTGCGCAAACTGCTGTGTGAACTGCTGCGTCTGTTCGCTGCCTTAGCGTACTGAAGACTTGGAAGCCACTAAGACTTCATGGAGAGATGAGGCTAGTAGTGCCTAGAAAAATCAGACTATGGTCTATGGAAAAGATCTGGTGTGTAGAGCATTGGACTTCAGCAGCACATGGTTATGGGCATCCTCCAGAGTTTTAGCCAGGCTACTGAAAGCTACTCCATTTGCGTACCTGTGAGTGTTACAGGGTGCAGATGTTTGTTATCCTGCGACATGGTGCAAGATGGTGTTTACAGTAAATCACAAGAAGTACGGTTTTTTTTTGGAAAGGCTGAAACAAGTTGTTCTTCACAATTCTCTTGTTTAAAGATGCTATTGCAAAAACTGGGACATGAATGCACTCAGTGCAGTTGGAGAGATCTGTGCTGCCTCTGAGCAGACCTTCACCCAAAAGAAAACAATATCTATTAGATACTTGAGCTTCCATTTTAAATAGGTGAAAGCAGTTATGTTGTGCTAGAATGTCATTAGGCCTAGATTAAAACTTGAAAATTGCATGGAAGGAGCGTAGTCTCACATTGATTAAATTAAAACAAGTCCTTTGAATAGGCCGTCTTGAAAAGGTGCTTGGACTCCTTTCATAGATTAACTTTGGCAGTTCATATACTAGAACAATATCTACTGTGTGTACTGTTGTCTGCAGTGGGTCTTCATCAAAAATATATTTGCCTTAAAGTGCTCTTTAAAAAGGCACCTTGATTTGCCTCCTTGGCACTATTTCAAACAAACTCAAGGGAAGTACATTGTCTTACAAAGTATGACTGCGTTATGTAACTTATTGCCAGTATATGTGAAAGTTCAAAATTATCAGTGGGCTTCAAAAAGATTGAGGCAAATTTCTGGAAAATGCTTCTGCCAGTAGCCGCCAAATGCATTTAGGATGCAGCCTTCAGCTTAGGAAGTCCCTAAGTAGCTGATTGCTAGAAACTGAGAGGCTATACTTGGAAGACAGGATTTCGTGTTTGCCTTCTTTCTTCAACTCTACTAGCTGTTAACAGAGCCAGCTTTTTGGGTTGGGTAGCATTTTGGTCTGAACCGGTATGGCCTTCTAATGTTCTGAAAGGACATAAACATTGTATTGAGGTATTTATAGGTACTACAGGGGAATTGGAGGTAAAAACTTTAATTAAAGGTTGAAATTCCTTGTATCGAAAGACAACTCCAGTTTTGAAGCTTGAGACCTTTGGTGGAGCTACTGTTTATTTTTGGTTTTTTTGTTACCAACCTGCTGATGTGAGACAAATATGCCTGAGAACTGTTTGTATGCAGAATAACTGTGTATTATTGCAGGGTATGTTCTGAAGGACAAATCAAAATGATTTTAACTTATTTTTAAGGCTGTCACCTCCTGCCTGAATTAAATGAGCTTAGTATAAAAAAGAAAACTGAACAAAGCGGTGTAATACAACTGTAAGGTCCCCTTTGTTCGGATTACCAGCAAGGCTTGCATGCTGGCTTTTATATTTCACATAGGAACAACTACCGTTTGGAGGCAGGAGGAAGTGAATATACTGAACTAGAGAAATGTAGGGTGGAAGGGGCCTCCAGAGTGTCTAGTCCAATCTTCTGCTCACAGTGGCACTGTCACCAATGCTAGATCAGGGTGGCCATGGCTTTGTCTAGCTGAGGCTTGAAGCCCTTCGAGGGTGGAGATCCCCCACCTGTGTAGCAACCTATACCAAGGCTGCATCACCCTCCTGGGGAAGGAGTTTTTCCTAATATTCCCCCTGAACCCTTGAAGCTGCAGCTTGGAGCCGTTACCTGTTAGCACTAATTCTGCACCCCGATACTAAATCTTCTAGACATTCCTTGGCCCAGTGGGCTGACTGACAGCATATATACCAGCTTAGAGGACTTGTTCGCTGCTCTTGAAATCGTTTGAGTGTTCCTTTATTCTGGTTGGGCCATATCTTATCCTCCATCTTTAATGGTTTTTTTAGGTGGACACTGCAAGTGAAATGGAGGAACTGGACGTTGACAGTATCTCTCTAATTCCAGAGCCAGGCAGCCAAGGCCCTGCAAAACTGCAAGTCTTCTTAGCTCGATACAGGTATGGTGTCATCTGTTGTGGTCTTTGAGGTTAGACAGGTTATCTCACAGTTGCCTCCTTTACCCTGGTCCCCAGCATTAGCCATTGTTAGGGATGGGTATTAGTGTGTCTATGTATATGTGTATCTGATTCCTTCATGGGAATTGTTGTGATCTGTATTACCTGCACAAGCAAATCCAATGCACTTAGCTTAACAAAAACATGTCAAACTCATTAGTTACTCAATAAGCAGAACGAGTTGAAACTTTTCTTTTGAAAATAGTTTTGAATGGAAAATCAAGTTTTGAATTGACACATTTCATGAAATATGTGATTTCTACAGAAGAGTCTAGTCTTCTCCAAGAAAATCTTATACCTTTATACCTAAATTCAATTCCTAAATTTAAATTTTTGGCCAAAGTCTGTCTTATTGAAATTAAAAAACAAAAAGGAAAAAGAAAAAGAAAAAAAGAGGGGTAAGAAAGGCTAGCATTGAATAAGGCCAGATTTTTTGATAACTGTTCCTATCCACTGAGTTGTTATGGTCAAACCCAAAACCCTATTCACAGTACAAAGAATATTGATGTATCATTCACCTTTTAGACTGTAGAGTAGGAGCAGGAAAACTTGGACGATTCTGTACTTGTAAGGAGCAGGTCAAATATGATCTGTGTCCTCAGTTTGGAGTCTTGGGCCTATAAGATCTTGCCAAGCTCATAGAGAGGATAACATTGCTTTGGCGTGCTGGAATCCCTTTTAAAGACAAAAGAGCAGCAATTAGCAGTAGGTGCTTGCAAAGACAAGATTTTTCTTTAGTCATTTTTCTGTGATAGGCCCTCTGATTAGCTTGAGGATCCGTGGAGAGGTAGATTAGAACTACCTGGAGCACAAATCCTGTCACCAATGTATTTATTTAAAATTTTCTTGCTAGTGCAGCTTTTGTACTGCCTTTTAAAATACGGAGTTACAGCACTGGGAGATATGTAGCTTGGATCCTGAAGAGTGGATAGTTATGATGAAAAATGAGAGCTGAAAACCTTTTCTTTGCTCTTCTGTAACTTTCTTCTTGCACAAATCCAAAAAAGTCATTCAGGTTTTAAACATGAGAATTTTGAGATTCAGTGCTGTGCTTGTCCATGACGGCTGTATATCTGATAAAATACATCTTGAGTGCTTTGGGCATTTTCACTGTTTTTCCAGAACTATGATGTGCATGAAATGTAGAAAGTTATCTACATAAAACAGTTGAGAATGTGAGTGATTTTAAGGATGTCAGTTTTAGAAATGCCGAGTCCTACAACTTACGTACTAAATATGGTAACATCCAGAAAACCAGCAGTCACACACGTAGTTCAAATAACCATTTTTTAAAACACCCTTTCTTGAATCTCTCTCATCTGTTTCCTTCGAACGTCATGAGGCATCTGCTCTGCTACTCAGAAAAGTCATCCTAGATGTTATTTGAACATGGAGCAAGATGTTACTAGTTATATATAAAACCATAATCTAGGGTCTTGACCTTTCTCTGTGGAATTAGCTGCTTGCAAAAAGTAGATGCTGTTCCAGTAGACTGTAAGCTTATCTAAAATCACAGCTTGAAAGTGTTACTATAAAAGTTGCTATGCAAACTAAGCTTTCTTGTTGCAACTATTTCAGCTACAATCCCTTCGATGGACCTAATGAAAATCCAGAGGCAGAGCTTCCACTGATTGCTGGAGAGTATATTTACATCTATGGAGACATGGATGAGGATGGCTTCTTTGAAGGTGTGCTTTAGCAGAATGAAGTGTGACTGAACTGCTGTAGAGATCTGATCTCCTTAAAAAGAACGAGAGAGGAATTTAGTAAATCTTAAAACTGCAAGATAAAGGTTTTCTGTCCAAAGTTAGTTTGTTGGAGGAGAGTGCAGATTCTGTTGGAAAAGGGTTTATTTATGTCGTGGTTAATTAAATCTAAAAAATGGAATCTTGGTCTAGTGAATTCAGTGGGAATTTTGCCACTGCTTTCAGCAGAGCTCCAGGTTTCATGCACATGTGGCCTCTCCCTAGCCACGGGGAGAAGCAGCATTCAGTCCTTAGGCACCTTCTGCGTTCCCTTTTTTTCATTGGCTGCGTAGTGAGCCAGAGCCTGTAGGCAGTTGATTGTCTCAATTGCCTCTTGCTCTTTTGGCCATAGCAGGGCATAAGCTAAGCAGCCCAAAATACAGCCTTTATCCTGTTTGGTGTCCTACAGTATGTTTCTCTTTTGACACCTTTGAAAACATGGTCCTGCTTGGTTAGTAGGCAGATGTAGTTGAAACTAAGAATTGTGGACTGCAAATTTGTAATGAAGTTTCTTTGTGGAGCTGGCTTACTTTATGGGATCTAAGCTCATCGCTTACTCAGGTGCTTTGCAAGAGCTGAGGCAAATGCATGCCATGTTGCTCTGCTTGCTCTTTGACTGCTCTGGCTCTTTCTTTCTACTTTGAAGCTTCTCATTTATTTATTGATTTGTTGTTGAAGAATAAAAAAGGTTATTCTTTATTAACATTTTCTGCTTTCCTTGCTTTCAATTGATTTGCTGTAGGTAGGATTTGAAAGGAGGAAGTATGCGCAGTCCTTACCCCACTGCGCATTTGATTCTGATTTGATGGTTCTTGTGCATACCAAGAGTTCTGTAGTATCAGTCATTCTCATGGTTCCTTTCTAGACATCCTTATTACAGAAGCTAGCATAGCAATGGAGGGAGCTAAAAAGAAGGCCAAAGAGGAATACAGGGCTGGAAAGGTGGAATTTCGTGAGGAAATACTACAAAAAACAAATCTGTGTGGCTGGGAGAAGAGACATGCTGAGAGTCTGCATAGTTTGGGAAGGCTAGAAAAAGACCTTTAGGTTAGTAAAAGAGCTGCAATCAGGAACAATGGGATAATGAAGAAGGAAAAACCCTTAAGCTGATTACTCAGAACACTGTCTGGTTAGTTGACTCTGGAACATATGGAGAAGCAGTGAGTTTTCTCACTGTGGGCATTGAGATCTAGTGCTAGGATAGCCGTAGGAAATGGAGCAACCTTGGCCAGGGATAGCCTCCTGGAGCTGCTTTCGTTCTTGACTGCAGTGCAGTTACAACCTGGCAGAGATGATGCCACGTTTTTGTCATAGATGGTTTGGAAGGTTGAAAGGTAGTTTCAGTGGTAACAGGTTTCCTGTTTTTTGTTTAGGGGAGCTGATGGATGGCCGGCGAGGGTTGGTCCCGTCCAATTTTGTTGAGCGAGTTTCAGATGATGACCTCATGACATTTCTGCCTTCGGAGCTGAATGATCTCACCCATAGTTCATACCAGGAGAAAAGTTTTGTCAGTGCAAGCACCAGCAGTGGAGATAAGAGTGATTACTCCATTGAAGAGAGTAGCATCAGCCCATTGACCAGTAGAGCAGAAGGAGACCAGGAGGAGCCTGTTAGTCATACAGCAGTGCCTTATCCAAGAAAATTGACTCTGATCAAGCAGCTTGCCAGAAGCATAGTTGTAGGCTGGGAACCACCACTTTTACCAGCTGGCTGCCCAGACATACAAAGCTACAACATCTATGTGGATGAAGAGCTACGTCAAAATGTGAAGAGTGGCTTTCAGACCAAAGCAGTGATTGAAAAGCTGGATTTAAAGACAAAGGCTTACCGTGTGTCTGTGGAGAGCGTGACAGAGCAAGGCAGTTCTGATAGACTGCGCTGCACTTTCTTTGTGGGGCAAGATTTTTGCGTGGCACCAACTATGCTAAAAGTCAGAAGCGTCACAGCCACATCTGCAGAGATCATGTGGCTTCCCTGCAACAGCAATTACAATCATGCAGTGTATCTCAATGGGGAGGAATGTGACATAACAAAACCTGGGGTGTACTGGTACACCTTCCGCAACCTGCAGCCCAGCACTCAATATGTTGCCAAGCTGGAGGCCCGGCCCTTGAAAACATCTTGGGAAGAGCTCCCAGAGGGGCAAGAGCAGAGCTCAGCTGTGATACACTTCACTACCCCTCTTGCAGGTATCAGAGCAGTCATGCCCATTGCCACTGTGCATGGAGTGCTTGGGGCAGTGAGCTCTGTCGTCATTTTGCTCTGAGGCCTTGGGGCAAAGGGAAGCAAGGTTTATTAGGTTCCAAAGAGTGAGATGCTGTACTGTTTTGTCTTAATATTTTTCTTTTTTTATTTCAAAAAGTTATTACCTTTTTTGTTTTCATTTGCTCTGGGAGAACATCTCCCATGCTAATTTGAGCAGCATGCCTCTTGGGCAATGGAGTATATGGTTTGCCATGTCCTGCTCTAAGGGTTGCTGCATCTTGGCTTCAGCTACTTTTGCAAAGTTGTCTTTTCTGTGCATTAAAACTTTTCACAGAACAAGACCACCTTATTTGCTCTGGTTTTTGTCTATTGTTTTCTAAGACTAGCGTAACTATTCCAGTGCAATTCTGCAGTGGCAAGTCCAGCATGAGAGTTTACTCTTTGCTATTGACCAGGGTTTAGTTTGGCATTAGGCTGTGGTGAGGCAAACAAAATGAAACTCTGATCTGTTGCAGGTACACCTGATGCTCCTCTGGATGTCCAAGTGGAAGCTGGTCCTTCCCCAGGTATCCTAGTTATCAGCTGGTTACCTGTCACTATCGATGCAGAAGGATCTTCAAATGGAGTTCGAGTCACCGGTTATGCTGTGTATGCGGATGGACAGAAGGTATTGTGCTGACACTGTGCAAGGCTGATGTTTGTGCATGTGGTTGGCTGGAGGCTGGTGCTGGGGGTAGCAAGCAGACACAGAGCCTCAGGACCTGGCAAGCAACTGGTGACTGTATGAGTTTAGCCAAGACATATGATGAATATTAGTTACTGAGGTGCTCCTGTGACCTAGCCAGGACTGAGAGGTACTGCGTGTATTAGTGAGGTATAAAGAAAAAGGAAAGCAAGGTCATGCTCTAGAAAGCAAGGACATGGATTTTTACCGTGAGAGGACTTTTCTAATAAATATGTCATTAGCATGCTGCATGGAAGCCAGTGCTGCAAGTTGGCAATGTAGGGCTGATCCAGACTTGTGGGGTCCAGTGTGGGAGGCACATTAACTGGTGAATGTAATTGTGATGGCAGAACTGTTTCAGGCTGGCATCCATAGGAGAGATGAATGAGCTCCCATGTGGAAATGCCACTGGCTCTCCTGGGGCTCAAGGAGAATCTCAAACATGAACAGAGTGTTTTAGGTCCTTCTGGGGAGAGTAAGTGGGAGAGGAAGGTACAGGACTGAGGAGCTCAGCTCTCTTCCATTAGCTTAGTTAGGTCTTTCAGATGACTCAAAAGGGAAAACAAGGTCATTGTTTAGGAAAAAAGTCATTACTGGTACTCAACAGGAGGAACCTGTGGTTGTGAAAGGAAGTTTTGTGAAAAGGACTTGGAGGTGTTAGGAGTCTTTGCTGGCCACCTGACTGTGTTCTCCAAAAACGACGATCTGGCTTTGTGACCAGTCTTGTCCTTGACTGTACAGACTGGGGATAGTAAGTAGTGGAGGTTGTTTTCAGTTTTGCTTTTGGCATGGATGTTACTGAGCAGTGCGCCAAGTCCTGCTCTCCACATGGGAAAAGGATAGTGACAGAAGAGGCTCCATAAAGCTTCAGAATTGATTTGTGATCCAGTAAGCATGCCAGGAGGAGGCAGTAACAGTACTTGGCCTTCAAAGGAATATCAGAGAAGAGACAATGCTGCCCCTACTTGGGCTGTTTGTTTTGAGTGAAGCACACTAAAAAAGATATCTGTCCAGATTTGGAATATGCTCTTGATATAACTGAACTAGAACAGTTTCTTTGGCAGGACCCTTCACCAGCAGAACAGGACAGTTAGAGTGTCAGCCTCCTCTCTTTCACCCTAGCCTTGTTATAGCTTGATCCTCCAGGCAGCAATAAGCTTTGGGGACACCCTTCCAGCACAACATCTTATGGTTGTTTCAGAACAAGAGCAGCATGAATCCTGAATCCCCAGGGAATACCCTGCTGGTTATCTTAGCAGGTTGCCACTTTTGTGGACACAGGGCATGGGTAGCGAGAAGTACAGAGCCTTGCTGCCACTTGAGGATTTTCCCTGGACTGGAGAGTGAGGTGTGGTTCTCCGGCCCATTCCTAAATCAGGAACAGGTAAATGGGGAGATGTATGAACAACCCAGTGTCCAATACTAATACTGATAAAGCACTTCCAAGGATTTTCTGTATTGAAACTGGCCTGCAGGCTTCTGTACATGTGACATTGTGCCATTGGCTGGGGGGGAGGGAAGCCACAGCGATTTAAGGGAGAAAAACGGTGCAAAACACCGTGATGCTGTGCTGGATGTTTGCTGTTTATCATGGAAATCTCTTTCCCCTACCCAGGTCAGAAAGAAGGAATCTACAAAGTTTTTGCCTTGACAAAAGAGATGGGATGGCCTTTTAAGTACAGGGAACAAGAACAGTTAGAAACTGGAGTAGGAGGGAATATAGTCTTTTTATAGAATATCCATGTTTCTCAAGTGGTTATGATAATAAATTCTCTTTATTATTCTTGCTTGCCTGATATTGTGCAGAAGGGTTGAAATCTTGCATTGCTGTTGTAAAGAGCTTTGGGGACGGTTGTAAACTCTGGAATTAGTGCCATTTCTAGCGGGCATGAGCTGTGCACAATGAATAGTTCTTTCCTGGGTCTTTGCTTGCAGGCGATAGAAGTTACCTCTCCAACAGCTGGGAGCATCCTGGTAGACTTGTCTCAGCTTCAGATGTTCCAGGTGTGCCGGGAGGTTTCTGTGAGAACAATGTCTCTGTATGGGGAGTCAGTGGATTCGGTTCCGGCCCGGATTTCCTCGGTCTTGCTGAGAGCCTCTCGTCATTCTTCACCTTCAGATTCTGCTATTCATACCAGTTTTACCTCGAGGCTGCCCTGTGGAGAAGCCAGGGGTTCTCTGCCTGCACGCAACCCTCCCACACACCAGACAGCTCCACTCTTTCTTCAACAAGTTCCCACTGATGGTTCAGGTGCCAAATTGACTGATCTTGCCTCTAGCTGTGATGGTTCAGCACGATCTCCGCTAGAGAAAGCCTCTTCACAGCCACACCTCTCCTCTTCCAGTGCTTCCTTGGTGCAGGTTTCAGGCACTTCCTCACAGGGATCGGACACTGCACAAGACAAGAAAAGCCTGGCTGTCCTTCCTCAGCGAGCTGGCAGCACGGTGCTCCCAAGTGAGAGCACAGAGCCTCTCTCTCCAAGGGAAGCAGAGTTGAAAGACCCGGATGAAGGAGTGGAAGCACAGGTAAGTGCTTACATCGCCCGCCCCGAACCATGTGTGCTGGGAAGAAGAATGGATCATTTTGGGAAATGGAATGACATACTATTGATTGTCTCTTTCCTGTTGTGACACACTGTCCCCTTGGGGCTGTCTTCCAGTGGCTGGCAAACTAGCAGGGAGTATTGGCTGCTCTTGTGTAGCTAGAGCAGGGTGGAGCAGATGAACCTCCCTGCTTGATTGCATGTGTGCAAGCCGAGCAAGAATAGGATCAGAAAAGCAAGAATTCTGCAGAGCTAGAAGGTGAAAAGGATGTTTCCCCTGCTGATGATGTCAAGGTTAGTCCATCATTGCCCAGTACTCTGACTTGGAGGAGACCTCTCCAGTCTAGTGGACTTCTGCAAGGCAGAGTAGGCAGCCCTGAAACATGGGCACTTGGACTGCACAGTGAGGTAGCCATGTCTGGAGAAGAACTGGGAAGCTGTCACGGCACTTGGTATTTTCACGTCCATAGGGAGGATGGGTGGTTTCTGAGCTTTGTAGGACAGTTGTCATAGCATCTGGGAGATCCATAAGAAAAGAGGTGGATGATCATCTATAAGGTGTTCAGGCTGTGACAAGAGGGAAGGGTGCATCCCATAGGTGTGTGATATATTATATCAGGAAGGAGGATCTTTTTTCCATTCTAACATTTGACATTAGGCAGGGTATTGGAATTAAGAGAGATTTTTCTGCAGGCTTCCATACATAAAGATAGGATCACAGCATTCCTTACAGGTGCCAGTTGAATTCTTTGTCCCAACACTGAGCTTAGTTTCTTTCCGCCATCAACTGGAAACAGTCTGACTTAATAGCAGACTGTTTCTGGCTTAGCTATTACATTTTGCATTGAAACAACAGCAGGTAGTCCCAAGTATGTCACAAAGCCCCTTCCAGCTTAACAGTCTTGTCAGCCAGGGAGAAAGAATTCACTGCAGACCCCCCATGAGGGAATGTTGGTTTCCAATCAAAGGTGGAATCAGGCTGTGTTAAACAGAGGCTCCTGTGTTGACCTTGCAGTGGCAGGGGGCTCAGAGGAGTGCTTCAAACCATCATATTCAGTGTGACTTTATTAATCGTGGCAGTGTGAGTTTATAAAGACATAGGGTTAGAGTAAAGAATGCGAAGACTTCTGGTAACTGCTGGAGCATCAGCAGTTATGTGGGCCCAAGACCAAAGGCCAGATAACTACACAGTAGAATGGAGATGTTGAGTCCAAAATTGTGATCCTGATTCTTCATCTCCTGCTCATTTGCTGCCTATGGCACCTCAGGTCTATTGTGATTCATTTGCCCACATTTAGATGGCTAGGGTAGATGACTACGTGTGGATGGGTCACTTTGCCTCCTTTGTAGTCAGTGGAGAAAAAGCGATGCTTCCAGGATGCAAATCACCTTCTTTGGTGAGATGCCTGTCTCCATTTTAAGTCAACAAAGGGAAACTGGCAGAAGGAGTCTAACCATCAGATTATACTTGGGATCTAGACCTGCCTATCTTTCACCTAAGCCCAGGGGGATTTAGACTGCAGTGTCTAAATCTCATCCTGTAAGTATTTTCACTGCATCTAGTAAATAAGCACAAAGTTATGCTCCATTGCAAAATGCAGTAGAGGCGACCACCCTTTTTTAAGAAAGAGGGTGAAGTCCCACCTGCCTTTCCCTCTTCAGTCCTTGGGGTTCCACTCCTCCATCTCCCACAGATTTCTCTAAACACCAGACTGAGCTGACTGATCATAAAAGACAGAAACACTTCTTGGAAAGAGATCAGAATTTAAAGTTTCCTTAATCCAACTAAGTGACCAAGCCACTAGTCTGTGCAGTTGTATTCTCTCTGTACAATCTTCATTCATTCTCATTTTCTTCACAGCACTCAGCAGCTTCAATGAGTACTGGGGTTGTGTCCTCACCTCCAGCTCAAGCTAACCCGTAAGCTGGTGCTTAGGACTCTGGGACTGAGGGCAGGAACTGGCCTCGTCATGTAGGTTGGGCTCGTCTTGTTCCTGCTAGTTATTGCCAATATGCTTCTGTGGCTTAGGTGAGGCCCATGTGGCAGCATGTTCCACAGCGTGGTGCATACCACAAAGCTATAGTGAAAAGGCTGTGCGTCCCCTTGCAGCTAATGGCAGGGAAGAATTCATTCCAGGGCTGGCCAGCTTTCCTGGCTACAAATTGAATGCAAAAATCTTCATATGCCAGGAGACACAGAACATGTGGTGTTTACATCAGAGAGCTGGGAGGTGGAGGGGTAAAGGACCTTTTCATTCACACTGTCTCCCCCAGGTTTCGTTGTTCCACGTCAAGAAGGGACTAGGAGGGAGATAGAGCAAAGTCCCAGTGCACACTGGCGTGATTGGCTTAAGAGGTGCTGGCAAGAAGAGCGTGCTCAAACTTCTCAAACTGTCATTGACAGGTCCTTCACAGAGGAGCAGAAATAGAGCATGCAGTGGAGGGCACAGGCAAGGTCCTGCAGCAGATACCATTGTTTTCCTGATGATGAACTCTTTTGGTTTCTTTCACAGATGGAGCTCTCTGTAACTAGAGCACCAGAGCTGGAAAGCCAGTCCAACAGCAGTCTGAAGATACGTGTGGAGACCTGCCTTGCATGCTCTGTGGAGGAGTCACCAGAAGAACCCAATGTAGAAAGAGAGGCAAAGGAGAAACACTTCAGTCCAGAGCATCTGCCCTTCCCCAGCCAGACTGTAGTAGCAGAGAGCACTTCCCAAGACTCAAGCACGAGCGGTAGCAGCTGCCAAGAATTCCTGAGATTGTCCCCTGGCAAGGAGGTGATGAAAGAAATGTCCAGAGGGGACTCTGGAGTAGTGTCTAGAGTGAAGAGAGAGGTTTGTTTTACCTTTGTTGAATTGCTGTCCGCGGAGGGACGTGGATTGTATTTGAAAAATTTGAGCTGCAGATAGGTTTTATGATCTTAGGCATACTGTTCTTCTCCTGCAGGCTATAAAACGTGCCTGACAGGTGTGTGTGTGTGCACGCGCGTGCTCAGGCATGTAAGACCCTGCGCTGGGTGCTGTTCTATTTCTTGCCACACTTTAGCTATACGTGTACTAGAGAAAGAAGGTGGAATTAATGCTGTTTTACTGCTGAAACAGAGAGACAGCCTAGAGGTCCGAGTTCTGCATCAATGGAAATCTGTTTTGCTTTTCAATAGCAAGAAGAGAAAATGTCTGAAATGGGAAGACGGCAGCTGGCCTTTTTTGCTGAGCACAACCGTAGTTCTGACCTTTCAGATATTTTGGAAGAGGAAGAAGAAGAGGAACTGTCTTCAGAAGTGCTGGAAGAGAAGAAATGGGATGCAAGAGAGCCCTGTTACCGGGAGAATGGAGAAAAGGTAACTGCTAGCAGAGTAATGCTTGTGGGGAGCACCAGTGCGACCATTCCATATCATCAGCTTACAGGAGAAGGGGCCTGTCTGAGCCCAGCCCTCTCAGTGCAGTGCTTGGCTAAATTCCTCCCTGCTCTGCTTTACCTCCCAGTGTTGTCTTAAGCTAGTAAAAATGCAAGTTCCTTGTGAGAGGGGAAGGTGTTTATATGTAATAAATGTATCCAGGGTTTAATTAGCTGGAAAAATACAAAATGTAATGTGAACTTTAGAACCCAGAGTGAAAAATCAATCCCATTGATCTAATTCTTAATATAGATACAAACAACGATCATATAGGAATCTCTGAAGTTCACCCGTCTGTAAGATCCTGTATCAACCCACCCTCCCTCCTAAAGTAAAACAAGCACGTAATAGTCCTGCCGAATATGAATAACGGTGCAAATTATTTTGCTTAGCCCTTAGCGCTCTCTGTAGAGATGGATGGCTTGCAGGAGTGGTGCCGTGGATGTTGCAAAGTTCAGATGTGGTGAGTGAGGAAATACTGATTAAGCTGAACTACGAGTGATCGTGTTCATTCATGTTAGAAGTTCAAATAGTTAAAGCTAGTGTATTATAATGCATCTGCAACAGGAAGTTTGCTTAAAACTGCATGACTGGAAAGTGGTATGTGATCATACAAATTACGGCATTTGGGATGAGTGTGCATAAGGGAAAGTATTGCAGTTGGATGTTTGAGAAATTAGAAAGATCTGCAGGAAATGTGATATGCTTGTATTGTAAGAGGCCAAACTAATTCCTTTCATGTGCTCAAAGAGCAGCTGTAATTCATTGATGCTGATCTATGTGGCTGCTAGCCTGCAGCACAGATGGGATGGATCTGTTGAGCATTAATAGGTCAGCAGCAGAGAGCATGATGAATCTGGAGTAAATTTGCTGCCTCTCTTTTTCCCCTTCTGAAGGGGGTTCTACTTCCCTAGTGGGGAGGCTGGATTTTGCAGTGCAGTGTGTTGGAAGCTCGAGGAGAGGCCTCCTCCTCCAACTGGAGATGCTGGGTCTGCCCTGGAAGGACATACCAGAAGGGGCTTCTAGCTGTTGGGATTGTGCTGGAAAAATAGGAAAGAAGCCTAGTTTTCCTGGAAGGAAGAAAGGGACAGATGACTTGAGCACACTGGTGCTTCTTTACCTGATAAAGTGCTTGTTTTCTATTCTGGCTGTGAAGACTTGAGGGAGTGACGAGTGCAGTATGACAACAGATGCTGAATAGGGAGAAGGGCATCCAAGGGCAGGAAGCTTTAGAATACTGAGCTCCCTACTCTGCTTTTGTAGAGTGAGGGAAGATGATAACTGGAGAGGGCCAGGCCTCACAGGCCTTTTTTGTAGGCCTCTGCATGTCTGGTAACATTTTGGGTTATTTCAGGTCTCCTCAGCTAACTCTTTCAGAAACTGTAGGATGAAAGTATGGAGGAGTGCTGATTTTAGAATGTTTAACCTCAAATATGTTGTTAATAACTTTATCCTTGATTACTAATGGGCAACAGCATCCCATAGCCCCCTCACGTTATAGAATTTCGCTATTCTACTCGTTTCCAAATACATAGCAGTGTTTTTTCTTCAAGATTTGTCTTTTCTGAATCCTTGGATTCGTTTTGTCTTCTCAGTATAGAAGCCAAACTTGCCCAAAAGCAGTCTTAACTTGCTAGAAAGCAATTATTATATAAAAATACAAAAGCAAAGGGCATAGCTTTGTAGGTAGTGAAAATAAGTCTTACTGGATGTGTTTTATGGTGGCATTAATAAATTCTACGTGTTACTATTTAGTAGCGGAGGGCTAACAAGATAGTCGGGGCCTAGAGCGCATGTCCTGTGGAGAGAGTTTGAGGAAGCTGAACTTGGTTAGCTTGGCAAAAAGGAGGCTAAAGGGAGGTATAGTAGCTGCCTAAGACTATTTGAAGGATGGTTACAAAGATGAGAGAGCCAAAGTCGTCTTGTTAGTGTCAGATGATGTGAAAAGGGGCAGCAGCCACAAGTTGCTGCTTGGGAGGCTCACGTTGGACATGAGGAAAAACTTCTTTCCCAGGAGGGTGATGTGGCCCTGGGACAGGTCTCTGGAGAGGTGAGGGAATCTCCATTTTTTGGTGTTTTCAAGCCTCAGCTAAACAAAGTCACTGATCTAGTATTGGCGGCAGTCCTGCTGCAAGTAGGAGGTTGGACTAGAGACCTTTGGAGGCCCCTTCCAACTAATTATAATTCTAAATGTAATTCAAGACCACTTCTGTTTGAAAAAAAGTTATAGAGGTGTAGTGTCCAATAGCTCGCTTAACAACTGCTTTTTTCTCCCACTGTGGTTCAGTTTTCAGAGGTAATTTAAACAAGACTGTTCATGGCTGTAGCTTATAACGTCAGTAACTACATGTGCTTTGTAAGCTATTTATAAATGTTTCTAAACCGCGTCATGATATAAATTGTCAGGGAGGTTGGATCGGGCACCTTCAGAGTTCTCATCCAACCTAAATTATGCTATGCTTCTAGTGTTATACCTTTTTATTTTATTATTAATATAATAAGAGGTAAAACATAAATTACATTTTTGGTACAAGGGAAGCTTTAAAGTTGAATAGTGTTTTCTGGAAAGTTTTATGTAACCTGGTAGGTTCTTACCCAGCTGCAAGTGAACTACAAGTTTGTGTGAGCCCTTTGAGGTAAATGGTTTTTGTGTTTATTCATGGCAACTCTGTGTTCTCCTGGATTTACAGACAACAAACTACCATAGAGCTGGACCTTGGCAGACCAGTGGAAGAGACTAGGGAAGGTCCTCCCACAGCAGCAACATCTCCAGTGGATGTACTGCTGCACAGGGCTGCTTCCTTCTGTTCATTGCAGTGCACAGAAAGATTAGGGAGGACGGGGAGTCCTTGTGTGAGCGCAAGCTGTGTGGTGTCAATACATTGGTCCTTGTGGAGGGAGGAACCTGATCATCTCTAATATACGGTGAACAGCTGCAGAGGAACTGTGCTTGTCCTGCCCCCATCATCCCAGACCCAGGATGCTGAAGCTGTGGGGAATGAAGTGGATGGGATGAAAGGTGCTGGAGAAAGTTGTGTGCGTAGAGGGAGAGGTTGGGAGAGAGCTGTTCCATACATTGGCCTTTCTCGCTTTCTGCTGCATTGCTAGCTCATCTGATTGCTTTTTTGCCAGAAGAACCATTGCTATCTTTTGCTTCCTACCCTTGCTTCGCTGCAGACCACAGTCTCCGCTCCATCCTGCTGTGCTGGGAGGGAATCGACTGTAAAGTTGTCTCTCTTTTTAATGTTTATTTCCTCTCTTTTTTCCTTTGCTTGTCCTGGCTGTGGCTTTTCTCGGGGCCTGGGTACAGATGGATCTTTGTGATACTGACAGCGATGAGGAGATTCTGGAGAGGATACTAGAACTCCCCCTTCAGAAGAACCACAGCAAAAAATTGTTTAGCATCCCAGAAGTGACTGAGGATGAGGAAGAAGATGAGGACGAGAAGTGTGTTCTAGAGGAAAAGGCAGAGCCTCAAGAATCCATGGAAAGACTTACCTGCCATGCAGGAAGGACAGAGAAGCTGCTTGACATCCAGGAGTCATTTCTAAAGCCAGATGGTAGTGATAGCTCCCCAGATCTGTCTGTCCAGACTCTGCAGGAGGAGCATGATGTTAAGAAGAGTGGAGGGGATGCTGAGCAAGAGAATCCTGCCTGTGGACAGCTGACCTGGAATCAGAAAAGGGCAAACTGGACCTGGGGCTACCAGGAGAGCGATCTGAAGTCTGTGGCTGGGGCGAGTCCCCCTTGGAGTAAGAAGAAGGGAAATAATTATAGAGAGAGGATCCGGAGTCGGACTGAGACGGGTAGGAAGAGACAGAATGATTTCACAGAGCACTGCAGTCGTCTGCTGGGCAACTGCAGCCAGATGGGAAGTGGGTTATACAGAGCTCCTAGCCTCAGGGAAGAGCTGAATGTTGCGAGCAGTGCTGGTGGTAAGGAGGGGTTTGATGTGTACCGTCGTGCCAGACAAAGCATCTCACGAAAAAACCACAGGAAAGCAGCAGTTTCGGGTCTTGCAGAAGCTCCTGTGGTGGCAACACACTGCTCCAGCCCCAGGAGCCTGGAAATAGACATTGAATATGACTCAGAAGACGATCAAGATTCGACCTGCTCATCCCCGCCTGAGACCAGGCTGTGGCCAGACAGCAGAGCAGAAGGGGCCCAGAGCTGCCGGGGGGAGTGGAGTGATTGTTCCAGTCAATCTGAGGTTGCCCACATTGGTGGCAGAAGGGACCCGACCAGGCGGGAGATGATTGAAGAACAGCGTATGGAGTGGGCTGGGTCTCCGAGCAGTCGCCTGCAATTCCTCTGCCGGGAGAAGGAAGTGCTGAGGTGTGAGAGCAGCTCTGAGGAGCAGGGCTGGGAGTTGGACTGTAAGTCACCTGGCTGGAGAAGGAGGCTCGAACATCCTTGGAAGGGGATACGTAGCACCTCCTTGCACAAAAGGGTTGGGTGACTTTTCCTATTCTGGCTTTGAAGCAGCTTGTAGTGGCATTAGCTTTCCTTCTGCTTCCCCGGCCTGCCTGTATCTTGCTTTGTTTAGTGCTATACAGAGAAAGGACCCTCCTCTAGGATTGTCCAGAAGAGTATCTGGGAGATTCCATAGTTCTGTGCTGCTCTGTGGCTTTTCTTGTATGAGCTGCTTCTGCTTTTCCTGCTAAAAGGCAGAGTGTCACTGATGCAGTATTCCTTTTCGCATTGGGTCTTCTTCCCTGTGACAGGAGACTGTGAGACAGAAATGAAAATCCCTAGTGAAATGAACTGATTTGTGAAAGCTCCATGTGGACAATGACTATAATGTCATTGCCTCCCCTCGAAATGCCCTTTCCTGCTTCCTCATGCTTACCAAAGGGATCATCGCTTGTTTCTGGCAGGGTGCCTGCTTGTATTTGTTTGGTTTTGTTTTCCAACTCCCATGGTATTTTCAGCTCTAGAGTGTCCCCGAAGAGGAATGTTGCATTTGGATGCACTGCTCTTTTGTGGAGTGCATATGGGCTGAGCGGTGTTCACATAAATCAGAAGGCAGAGGCTGCTACTAACTCTCTGGTGGTTCCTGTTGCAGGCTTCTGGTAATAAAGATCCTAGGGGCCAGGAGCTGCCTGGCTCAGCCGCCTGGCAGGCTCCCAGCAGAAGAGGGAACAAGAGTGTAAGAAGAAGCCAAATACAGAAACCTTTGCTCTCTACTCCAGGTGAGTGGGCAAAGGGGAGAGAGTCAGGCAGCAGGAGAGAGGGAGGCTATTGGAAATTTCGTGGGAGAGGCTAGTAGGCTGTGTTTGAGAGACCTGAAGGTCTATGGCAGGGGATCTCTGGGACATGGTGCTGACATTCTCTCTGGTGTACCCCTGTCTGTTCACAGGTCCTTCAAGGAGCACAGCTTCAGAAACTGCTGTTAAAGATGATGCCATTAGGATATTTGTGGCCCTCTTTGACTACGATCCCATTTCTATGTCTCCTAACCCTGATGCGGCAGAAGAGGAACTCCCGTTTAAGGAGGGGCAGATCCTGAAGGTAAGAGCATACCTTAGTGAACATCATCTCTGTATGGAGCCATCCCATGTTCCAGGGACAGCTGAAACTTTGGGAGGCAAAACTCCTTTATTTTGGGAGTTTCCTTAACTTCCTTGTTCTCTTTTTTTCTGTGTGTCTTGGTCCCTGTAGCATAAACTGGTCTCTGGCCTTTCTTTCCCCTTGCAGGTCTGTGGAGATAAGGATGCTGATGGGTTTTACAGAGGTGAATGTGCAGGAAGGGAAGGATACATTCCCTGTAACATGGTATCTGAAGTCCAGGTGGAGAATAACGAAGTCAAGAAGCAGCTCTTAAAGCAAGACCGATGGAGAGTGTAGGTACTGTATCTCCTTTACATGCGTGCTATGCTCTTGCCAGCACATTTCTTCCCTGAAATGGGGAAAGTTCAGCCATGCTGTCAAGCTATATGCTTTCACTTTGTGGCTGTGTGATTTCTGGTAGACTTGTGTCCTTTGGCTGCTCTAGTGTCTAGGAAGAGGAGAGTTTTGAATGAGGCTTTTGCCACAGTTAGGACATACCTAATGTTTCTCCTGTATATATTCACTGTTGCCCACTGATGGCTAGGTGCCTGTGGTGGCCCTTGCCCTGGGGGAACATAAAAGGCTTCCTGTCCCCTGCCCCACTGCATGTTCTCAGAAACATAAAGGAACTTAATAGCTCTGAGACTGCATGAAACATAGTGGATCTGAAAGTTATCAGATGGGTGGTGATGGTGAAAAAGAC